TATCCTTTTGATCCCTAATATGAACCACTATTGTGGTTCAAGATATATATATATATATTCATAAGTATTTTTCCAGAAACTTTCAAAAACACATCAGTGATAATATTTATTAATGATTTCCATTCATATGTCTAGTGCAGGAACTATATAACAGCATTATGTAGGTGAAAGTTGGAACTAATGATGATTGATAATATTTGATAGTGACTTCATCTACTTTACTGTGTTTAGTCATGTAATTAAAGGAAAAAAGAAAATGCTCTACACGACTTTAGTATTACAAAAAAGGTCTTTATACCAAACTGTTTTATTTATCTTATCACAAATTTTTGTTAAATTTTAGTGTTTGCTCAACAAGTGTATAGGTTATAGTTTATACTTGCAAATTTATATATTTTTTTTCCAAGGCAGACAGTGGAGGGGGGGGGATGGTCTACTATAGATATATCATCCTTTAACCAATTTATTATCATCCCTTGGTTCAAGTTGGCCCTTAACTCCACTACTATATTTTAATAATTTCAAGGCAGACACTGGAGGGGGGGGGTGGTCTACTATAGATATATCATCCTTTAACCAATTTATTATCATTCCTTGGTTCAAGTTAGATGGTTTTCTCTTAGGTGGATGTTTTTTCCCATGTTGTGGATGACCAAGATAGGTGTTTTGGATGCTTTTCTCCATATTCCAATTCATCCTGCCACTTGTTGCTTCCATATTCTCTAGTGTTACATTTCTTAGTTTAGGGTCCATCTCTTTGGGTTAACTGATCCAGCTCTCCAAGTCAGTATTGACTCCCATTCAGTATCTGTTTCACTTGGGGGTCTTTTCCAACTTATCTGCTGAGCCAGCTCAGCCTCCTTCTTTGTCTTTCATACATGAAGCTTCTGGCTACCAAAGCTCTCATATCTCTTATTCCTATCTGAGAGGTCCTGTCTCTTTCGGAGACTTTAGCTTATCTTTCTAAATACCTTTATCCCTCTTAGACTCACCTATTAGCATACCCTTCAATAGATTCAGGCAAGCTATTGAAATATGTCCAGTGATCCACTAACTCCTCTTGTGTCTTCTCCTTCTCCATTTTTTAATTGCTCATTCTTGCTGTGACTCAGTCATTCTCACATGATGCTGGGCATCCTTCTTCCACCACCTTGACCAGACTTTTGTTCATAAATACCTATATCAAGGTGGGTTGTAGTTCTGGACATCTTTCATGTTCTGGTGTTTGACTTCTGGAAGAGTTGTCTCTCTACATTAACACCTCTACTTTATACAGTCATTCAAGTATATGTATGTGGCTATTTACTTATAATCATAAACTTGACTTTGGCTCAGACATACAGTATTGACCAAAATATTTTAATTTTCTTTCTTTTGCCTGTTCTCATCCATGGCATTGACTTATGACATGAAGAGCTTTTATTAAGTTTACTATACAGGATTACCTTCATTATTTTATAAGTTCTGATCTGTAAATTTGGCTATGAGTGTTTTGATTGTTATGAATCTTTGTTGTAAAAGGAAATGGTATGTTTTATTTCCAATGTTACTATACCATTCTATTCAACCATTTACTCTGAAACAAGTATAAACTTTATCAAGCATGCTTGTTTACTTGTATGCTGGAAGCTTTGTTACTATGATGATTAGCTACGTGTAAATAATAGTGTAAGTTAGCTATTATTAATACCTTTATAATGTAGGTGTACTTTTGTACTGAGTGGTTTGTATATGAGTAATGTAAAACTTGCAACTGTATTCAATGAAAAAAATTTCTTTCCTTGTTTATTTATAATTTTCAAATGTTGTAGAACTTTTCTAGCACATGCACTGACTGTGTGTTTTTACAAACCTTTGTTACCAGAGTTCAGTATAACTGATTTTTTTATTAGTTTACACACACACACACACACACACACACACACACACATATATATATATATATATATATAAGTTTTTGTATCATAATGTTCTGCCTTCACATGTGGAATACTCTTTTGAAAATAAGGGAAATTTCATTACATTGCACTTTGGATATTGATGCAGGTCAGCAGATTTATGCATGAATATAATTTACACTTCCACTCATTTACAAAGTGCACAGAGTATCAACATACATAGTAATGACAAAAAAGTATTCAGAGTAATCTGTTGTACATCCTGTTGACCTTGAGCAGGATATGACATTCACCATGTAGGTTTCCTGGAAACTGCTCCTTGGATAGAACCCACAAAATGATTACACTACAGCACTGACTTGTTCTTCTGTTTTAGTTTACAATACACTAAATTCTTTGTATATGGTATGTTTTATGTCTGCAACTACAATTTTCAATATTTGATTAGTTTCATTTACATCTTACATATCTAGACTATGTATTAACATAAAATCAGAAAAACACACATCTGATTACTGTAAGCAAATTCATGGAAAATTCTCTTGGGAATGTTATATGTAATTGCTGAAAAAATGATTTGTTTAAAATCTTAATAATATATCAACATATAATTGTAAAGGAACCATTCCTAGGTAATTACACACTTGTGTATGCTTTCATGAGAAATGAAAACAGAACAAAAAAGTATGTATATCAAATTGAATTTGTGAATGTGAAATGTGTACATTCATAGTTATTAGTGCTTTTTTACGTAGCATACAGAAATTAATGGATAGTTTTGTTTTTTGAGATATTGATTTTTTAAAGTACAGTATACAGCATTATACTCTTTTTTTTTAATGTATGTTTATACTTTAGAAAATAAAGTTAATGTACATGCTCATGTAATATTGTTTGCCCAGTTGCATATTACATATGGCATACCTCAAATTATTTTGTCTGCCCCTGTCTAGAACTGGGCAATTTGTTGATTTTGTTAAGTGATTAATCATCAAATTAATTCATCAGATACATTAAACTGATCAATTATTCTCACATGAGATGACTTGAAAAAACAAACTTTTAATGCTAAAAATTGTTTCAATACACCCCCTGGGGGGGGGGGGGCAAGCACACAGACTGTGTAGTTTTGTGTTTAAGATCAAACAAACATGATGGTAATATTTTGATTACTTTCACAGTTGGAATAATCAGAAATTGTAATAACTGAAATCCCTAATTTCAGTTAGTTAATTATTTTTTATGAGTAGTGATACTAAACAGTTATGCTGAACAAACTTGAATTAATCAAATAAAATGACAATATTTTGATTATTGTGTAGTTACAATAATTGAAAACTGTAATAATGAGAAACATTAATTTCAATTAGTTAATTATTTTATGACATTAATTAATTTAATTATAAATTCAATTAATTAATAAATTGCTTGTACTACTAATTGATGTAACCAGTGCCCATATATAATCAATTATATCAACCAATTGAGTTAACTACCCAGCTTTAATTACATGTATGTGTCCTTTGACATACAGGTATGTAAAAAATAACCAACCATTAGTTAGCAATATCAGAAGTTCAATGTACTTATGGTTTATTTTATGTTGAAATCTTCAAAAATATTTTAAACCAAATTAATGTCATAAAGATTCACCAAAAGAGTTTTCATATATTAATCAGCCACCTTTGCTTCCTTTCTGGATTTATAAGGTTGCTGTTCTAATCTCCTGGATATTGTAGAACTTGTATACTACAAATGAATTTGTATGATAGGGTCAAATGAGTTAATGTCATTATAATGAAGGTTGATGAGCATTAAGTCTTGCAGAGTAATCAAACTTAGTTTACTACTTCATTATTATTAGTTGTTTTTATTTGACTGTATTGTTGTTCAAAGTCTGATGGGTGTGTTAGCAGTGTCACTTGGCAGATCAAATACACTGTGTTGGGGCAATCATCTTTATACTATCTGTAAACATTAAGCCAAGTACTACTCTTGATGTTTGTGGATTTGTTCTTGATTAATGTTTGTATTTTAAAGATATTAGAACAATAAAAAATAAATGAGTGGTGTTGAATGTCATTATCGGCTTGACATATATATTTTATTTTCATTTATCGTATATATATACTTTCTGTACATCTTCTATTTTAGAATAGTACAACCAAAGCAGTATTTACACCAGTTTTTTTCTAAAATAACATTATAATGATTTACTACTAAATCAATATTCTCATCTATGTATTCTTAAAAAAATAAATTTAAATTGATTGGACATTTACATCTATTTAATCAATACAATTTCAATTTAAAAATGGTACAAATAATTACTAAATCTGTCAGGATGATTTATTATCCAAAAAGTCATATGTTTATCATATTGTTATGTATCTTGTTTCTTTTTTCTTTCTTCTTGTTTCTTTTACTGTTCTTGTATTGCTGCCATCAAATCTGCTAAGCTGTAGTTTGATTTGCCACTTCTCGTTTCCATCTTTTTTTCTTTTTTTTCTTTCCATCCCACTCTCTGACACCAACGTGTTATGTATCTGCTCGTTTGTTAATTTCTGGTATAAGTTCTTCCCGAGGAAC